GTGATAATACTTCTGGTGTAGAAGGGACCTTGTCTACTTGACCTTCCCTGTAAAGCACAGTACTCATAAAAAGTATTGTTTACTATAACTGTTGAATTCTGGCCAGGAATCACAATGAATAAGAATTAAAGAGAGTGCAGAAATAGTTTTCAGTGGTGCAACCTTAGTGAGGTTGAATTTGTGGCTAACTCCTCCGGAGAAGTGCAGCAGAGCCTTGACACCTGGACTCCTTCCCAAATTCCATTGCCTAAAGATAGCAACTACTGGACACTCTCCTAAATCTGTTTTCTTATCCACACCACTTCATTAATGCCCAAAGAATTTCTGGAGGGCAAAGAAGTTGTTCTCAAATGGCCTCTGGAGTCCCACTCCCAAGGTGCTCTGGGGATGCAGTTATGATGATCATGTTTATCCATGACCCTGGGGCACTTTCCAAGGAGTCCTGCAGGGCTCTAAGCAGCTGCAGGGAGTTCCAATGAAAAGACTGACCAAGGAAGCCTGTAGGGTGAGCTCTCCTTTTCTGGAGATTCAGAATCTTAATTGGATAACAATTAGGTAGTATCGCTAACACTAATTGAATTTACATTTTAAAAATCAGTGAAGTGCTTTGACGAGCCTTTACTGATCCTGTGGTGGATTTCAGGCGTGTATCTTTCTCTGTTGGGTTCTCTGCTTTGGAAGCACTTCTGTGATGTGTTTGGGAGCCATAAAACAGCCCGTTGGTCTCTGTAGCCTCCATACCTCCACTGGTAAGGAGTGTCTTTGAGACACTTAGCTGGCCAGGCCCTCCAGCACTCAGTTCAGAGGCAGATCTTGGGGTCTGAGGACCAAGGTTTCACTGTAGGTCATGTCCAGTCTCCTGGACAGGAAGAAGAACACTGAATCCTGACGAGTGCTGAGCTGTGGCATTGCAGAGCTGGTGAAACCCCTGTAGCTCTTAGCTGGTGTTAGAACCAATGGAACTACAGGTTAAAAAAGAATCATATCCTGAAGAGGCTTATGAAGGGTCTGTGACGTTTATGGACCCCAGTGAGACTGGATTCCATTGTGGGACCTCAGCCTAGCTGTGAGTTTTTTCACAAAGCCTTTCTCTGAAGCCTTTAATGCACACTTGTTTTTCCACACAGTGGAAATGGGATCAGTTATAACCAGAACAGTTAGCAAAAGTAAGCTGTGAGCTGCATCACTTTTTCACAGGGGTGAAAATCCCCTCGTTCCACTCACTAAACATTTGCAGGAGGTGATAACTGATTTGCATCTCCAGGAGTGAGGTAATCCTCTAGCAATCTCTTTGACACTCTGCAGTCACTTGACTGAAACCAGCGTCCCTACCTGACAAGCTGGAAGCACACCTCTTGTTGTCTTCTGGAACTGCAGAGCTCAGGAGCAGGTCAGCTTTCCTTAACAGCTCGTGTGCTGGGAAGTGCCAGGAGCTGTCTCCAGAGAGGCTGGGGGGGGGGGTGGGCGACTAGCAATCTCTTTGACACTCTGCAGTCACTTGACTGAAAGTTTCAGCGTCCCTACGTGACAAGCTGGAAGCACACCTCTTGTTGTCTTCTGGAACTGCAGAGCTCAGGAGCAGGTCAGCTTTCCTTAACAGCTCGTGTGCTGGGAAGTGCCAGGAGCTGTCTCCAGAGAGGCTCTGGCTGTGCTGGGCAAGTCCCACAGTCTCAGATGTATTTTGAAGGTGCTGGCACACTCTGCAGAGTTCTGCCTCCCCAGAGCTCTCCTCTCCTCAGTCTTAGGGGTAGACCTGGATTTGAGGAGGAATCATTTCCACGCCCTCAGCTGAGAGTTGTTTGAAATAACTACAAGAGACAGGCTGAGAATCAAAAGTCCTCAAAGTGGGTGCTTCAGCTGTTCTTTGAAATGCTCAGCTTCTAGCCCTGCTCAGTGTAAGCGTGCAGAGAGTGCTGTTGCTGTCCCCAGTTCCAGGAGAGCATTCTCATTTCTACCATTTTGACTTACACTTGATCACAGAGGCTCTTGGGGTGGTATTCCAAACAGCAAGAGCTTCTAGAGACAAGGTTCTTGGTGCTCATACTTGGTGTGCTAACAGAGAAAGCAGGGAATGGAATATCCCAGAGCAGCTGCCCTGCCTGTATCTGTGCTACCTTTAGGAAGGTACAAGAGCATCCCAAGTATCTGGCTGTGTGGAACCTCTGTCCCTGTACTCACTATCACATCACGTGTTTAGATGCTGTCTGGATAAATTGCACAAGAAGCCTTGTGAGTAGTGGATTTACTGTATTTGCTGTAGAAAAAAGCTGCCTCGACAGTTCCTGCAGCACCTTGGCATGGAGAGACAGTCTTGCCTACCAGAATTGCTTGAAACAGCATCTTGCAGATCTGATTTAGAGACAGGATTTAAAATGCAGTTTCTCTGCATTAGACTTGTGAAAACTTAAACTTGCCAACCACTAAGGCAAAAATGTTTTCAACAGCCAAAGACAGTTGAGAAGGACAGCAGAAGTGAGATAGTAATGGCCATGGGGAACCAAAATATGTCTCTGCAGTTCAGCTTCAGGACTGCACTGTGCCTTTAAAGGGGACCTGTGATGGGAACTGTCCAGTCCAGTTAAACTCTTCTGTCTCTAATTTCAGGCTAAATGAGGAGCAAATTGCAACAGTGTGTGAGTCGGTGCTGCAGGCTCTGTCCTACCTTCACTCTCAGGGGGTCATTCACCGAGACATCAAGAGTGACTCCATCCTCCTGACACTGGATGGGAGGGTAGGTTTCCTCAGAGCCTGTCCCCTCTTGGTCTGTCACCTTCTCACCTTCCCTTCACAGGCTCTTGTTCATACCTCGTCCTCTTACACCCTCTGTCATCTTTGGCTTTGGTGTTCTCTCTGTGTTGCTTAACAATTATTAAGGTCGGTTGCTTTTCTCTTTGTACAGGTCAAACTCTCAGATTTTGGCTTCTGTGCTCAGATCAGTAAGGATGTACCTAAAAGGAAGTCCCTGGTAGGTACTCCCTACTGGATGGCTCCAGAAGTCATTGCCAGGATACCATACACTACTGAGGTGAGGGAGCAGATGATCTTCTGAAGGGTCACGGGGCAATAACTATTGGCTTTTCTAGGAAGAGCCTCTGGAGTCTATTTAAAACCTACAACTCTGACTACAGCTTGGATTGCGATGATATCAATATTTCCTCAAACAGTAGAAAAACAGGTTGCTCTGCTTCCTGGAACAAGGTGAAACTCTGCTCTCCTCCTGAAGCCTGGCACAGGCCTGTGCCTGCTCTCCTGTGGACTGATGGTGCAAGGAGCAGCCTGGGCACGATATGGATCAGCAAACCCATCAGTGCCATAAACGGAGGGAGGAGAGGCGGGCAGGAGCAGATGGGAGCTGTGAAATCACGGGCAGATGGCAGCAGACTGATTAGTTTTGTTTACCAACCAACCAGGTTTAGCACAAGCAGTTACTTGCAGACCTTCACATGTTGCAACAGCGGCGTGGCTCAGTCCTAGGTGGGAAGCTGTCTTTGATAAGCTGTGGTGAGGCGGCCGAGCGCATCAAGGGGGTTCATGTTTCACTCTCCCAGGACCATTTGCCATGGGTGGGGTGTCAGAGTCCTGGTGAAAGCAGCAAAGCAAGGACCCGTTGCTCTGAACTGTGGATCGACGTGACGTTGTCTCCCACAGGTGGATATCTGGTCTCTGGGGATCATGGTGATAGAGATGGTGGATGGAGAACCCCCCTATTTTAGTGATTCTCCAGTGCAGGCAATGAAGAGGCTCCGTGACAGTCCTCCTCCCAAACTGAAAAACTTCCACAGGGTGAGTGCACTGGGGAACGTTTGTAAACCTGATGGTTATCATGGGGAAACATCCATATCAGCTGCTCCTGGTAAAGCTGGCTCTGAAAGTGATCCTGCTAGGACGTGTCTTCTGGGGAACGTCTTGGGCCCTGGGGTCTCAGTGGATGCAAGCTGCTGCTGACAGCTAGTGGCTGCTCTGGGAAATAGCCCCAATAGTGTGAGGTCACCTGGGCATAAACCTGATCACACAAATCAAAAGCCTGATCACACAAATCAAAGCCACTTCAGGTGGCCCCAACAGTTGATATCTTGCTGATATTGGTGGAGTAGCACATCTTCTAGGGAGGTAAACAGGAGGATCCTTGCTCTTGGGAGTTTCTGGCTTCATGCCTTTTAGGACTGCAGAGAGCACATTACAGGCAGAGCAGGAGAGCTCAGCATGGACAGCAGCTCGTGGAGAAGCTGCAGCTGCTTTGAAGATGAACTCAGCTCTTATAACAAATAGCAGTGACATAAAAAACACAGTGATTACCTTTTAGTCACTGCTTGGAGCAGTCCTCCTTTCATTTCAGTCCAGGCCTCGGAGATCAAATAGCTTCTGCAGCATTCTGAGCTCTGGGCCCTTCAATTAATCAGAGGATCTGCAGCTGCTAACCCTGAATTATTTAGCAGAGTAGGCTGCAGAACTACCAGCAGCCACCCAAACAGCAACAGCTGCTCTTCCCTCTTTGCAATGCTGGCTGAAATTTCAAGGTGACATTCTGGACCCAGTGCTGGTGCTTCTGAGGTGGTGTGGAGCCTCTGCTGGTCTGGGTCACACCCCTTGCTGGGTGAGGTGACCCGACCATGGGCTGTGAAAGCCACAGTCATTTACAGTCCTGCTCTGCTCCACTTTGTCTGGGGAAGCAAACTGGTTTCCAGTAGAGCTCTGGGTTGCCAGGCCAGGGCTGTCCTCCCCCATCTCCCTGCTGTCTGAGTGGAGCTCAGCACCAGATCTGGATCCAGCCCTCCAGTCTGATGACAGGTAATGGCTCCCTGGGCTCAATTACTGCAGTACTGGGTGCAACAGGTTGAATGGCCACAGGCCAGGATAATCTCTGCAGCTTTTCTAGAGCATTGGCAGATTTATTGACAGAGCAGTGAAGGCTGGATGGACCCCAGTGCTGTACTTGGCTGTGCTCTGCCTTCTCCCTCCAGCACCCAGTGAGGTCCTTCAAAGCACTCAGGAAATAAATGGGATCTCAGTGTGAACAGTGTCTCATGATCTGCTCCTGAGTTAACCAGGGCTGGAGGAATGCCCCCAGTCTAAAGTGGATGTAATTAGCAGCATTAAAATAAATAAACACCAAGTCAATGTGATTAGCACCAGTGAGAGATGTGCAGTGCCTGTAAGTGGTTCTTGGGTCTGGCTCCTCAACAGCCTTTTACACAGCTTCCAAAGGCCAAAGCTGCTGAGGTCATTCAGCTTTCAGTGTACTGAGCTGCAGCTCCCTCAGCTGCTTGTACCAGCACCAGCAGGTTTCCAGACTCTCAAAACCTATTTGGGAATCCTATCTGATGACTTTTCCCACAATCTGTGGCTGGTAAAAGAAGCTGAACAACCCAGTGGTGTGCCTCGGGTAGCAGGAATCCTGCTGGATTTTTGAGCTGTTCCCTGTTAAAAAGAGCACAGCCTGTGTACACACTGTGCCTAGCAGTGACAGTGTTACTGCTGTGACAGGAGGAGCCTGGTGTGTCACTCCACAGGCCTGTGCAAATCAGCAGGGTCACAGAGCTGGAATGTGCAGGGTCCTTCCAACCAAACCTGCCTGGTGTGGCTGCACGGAGTGTTGCCTGCTTCCTTCTCGGGGTTCACTTGGTTGCCTTTTCACAGACCTCCCCAGTCCTCAGAGACTTCTTGGAAAGGATGTTGACACGGGATCCACTAGAAAGAGCAACGGCACAAGAACTTCTGGATCACCCCTTTTTGCTGCAGACAGGGCTCCCAGAGTGCCTGGTGCCCCTCATCCAGCAGTACAGGAAACGCACCTCCACCTGCTGACTGCCTGCCTGCCTGGGGAAAAAGGAGCTCATTCAAAACCCAACATATCAAGAGCCCAGGCAAGTCTCCTCCTGTGAATGGTGCTTGGAACTTGTCAGTGATCACTTCTGAGGGTGACTGTGGAGACTGTCCTGGCATCCTCAGTCTCTGGTGGCTTCTCTTTTGCTGAAGACAATCAATACCTACTAGACCCAAATAAGCCCAAGCGTGTCTCAGGACCACAGCAGGTGTCTGGGGGTTTGTGAGTTGCTTCTTCCAAGGGGTGGCCTCTCAACGCCCAGTGAGGCTGTGTCTGAGCCTCCTGCAGGCCTGGGCTGCTGACTACTGAACTGGAACAATGTTTCCCAATTAGAAATGTGATCTTTCTTTGAGCTGTACACTGGAGCCTGGAGCTGACTCAAACGTACGTTTTGGGGCACAGACCCACTTCAAACTCTCAAACAATGCACAAAGACTTGACAATTTTTTTCCTCTGAGACTTTTTCACAGATGATTTTAATTTCCTCTGGTTAAATGTGGACCTAGAAAATGGAACCTGTTTTCCCAGGGAGCAGATGTGATGTAAATATTTGTTTCTAAATGGTTTCTCCTGCATCAACCTTCTCTCTTTTGCTGAGGAACGTGTATGGCTTAGTGGTCAATCCTGAATCCATTTCATGATGTTGAACTTCAGGAGGGGGGATACAGGGCTCAGAACAAACCCTGTGAGGACAGGTGTTCCTGCCACCAGGATCCTGTGGCTGAAAATTCCCAGTGTGTGACACCTCCAGTGCTGGCTGGACGGGAGGGTCTGTGCAAGCCTGCTCCTGGCTCTGGTTTCCCAGCATCTTTCTTTCCAAGTCCTTTCACCCAAGAGAGGCTGCAAAATGCTGCCTGGAGACAGTTGTTGGGTAGCACCTTGGGGATGCTCTAGGAGACAGAATGAAGAACTTTCAGCAGTGCTGCACATACCAGGAGAGGTGTTGTGCTCACCTGAGGTGCTTCGTTGAGCCTCTGTCTCCCCTCTTGCTCCTGCAGAACATGGGAAGAAGAGAAACTTCTAACCTGTGCTCCGTTATTGGTGTGCCCTTCCCCACCATCCCTTTGCTGGTACTTTTGGAAGGTTACTGGTTGTCTAAACATCTCTTTCAGTTATTTTAAAATAGATTTAGTTATTTTGTATGCTACACTTTCTGATCAGTAAGATAGTCAAGGTAATTGGATCCTAGGTCAGGGTGTGACATTGTACAGTAATGGTGTGTATTGTTGTGAGGTCTCAAGATTATAACCTTAGGTGTGGAACTGGGATCTATATTGAAACCAATTTATTGGAAATTAAGTTATTTGTGGGAAGGTCCTACTGTCTCAGAAACTAACCTCAGAACTGCATTTTCTTCAGAAGATGGTAATAATCTCTATCCTCTGCTATCTACTCCAGTTACAGATCCTGCTTCAAAATTGAAGCCACAGTTGATTACTTGAAGTAATTTGGGATGGAATTCATCTGCACTGATGCCAGCCATGGAATGGTGGGCACCCAGTCTGCGAAGCATGTAGGTTGGCTCTGCAGACAGGGAGAGAGGGAGGCTCCAGAGGGTGGCTCAGGTCCTGCTGGAGGATCCCTGCCTCCCAGGACCACGCTGCCTGTGGCCAGGGGAGGTGGTCTGCCGAGACTGGATGTCTCAGTGTGGGGCTGATGAAGTTGGCTGGAATGAATTCATTTAGCTCCTCCTTAGCTGCACTGGAAAATTTTTGATGTAAAATGTTTCTGTATTCCAGATATACTGCTTTTTTTTTATGCAAAAGAGCAGGGCTTTGAAAAGATTTCTAATTTGAAACCAACGCTCCTGCTCGTCTGTAGTGGTGAATCCTTTGCACTCGTGTTTTAAATTAAAGTAGATCTTGATTTATGCATAAGCCTGTTGCTGTGCTGAGATGCTTTAAAATATGTCTATAGTTCAGAGATGGAAGGGACGTGTGAACCTTGAAGTCTGGCCTGACTTATCTGTTCTGTGGCTTTTGAAACAAGGAGAGGCTGCAGCAGGAGCCTGGATCCTGCCACAAACCTTTCCTGGAGGCAGGGGTGACAGGTTTAACACCCAGCACCTTCTCATACTTTGGCCCAGGTCTGACCAAACCCCACCAGGGAATGCTTTTGGAAGATGACAGTCAAGGATCTCATAAAATTTTACAAACTCATTTCCATGAAGAATGCAGGAAGGATCCAATGTGGATTGAAGTGTCAGATTCGTGTGTTCCCCTTGTGAGGCTCCTGCAGGGCCTGTCACCCCCTTACTCAGGGAGTGGGGAGTCAGACAGGAATCCTGGGGCAGCCCTGCACCAGGGCAGAGGTCCCAGCACTGCCTGCAGGGCCAGCGGCTCCTTCCCCGGCGCCAGGCAGCCCCTCGGGGGCGGGGTGAGCAGCAGCGCAGGTTGATTTGCATTGCAGGGCACCCGGGAGGAGATCCCCGTGTGCCGAGTGCCAGCTCGGTGTATAACCAAACGGAGCCTCTCTGAAGAGCTCCGAGCCTGCTCCCCAGGTGACTGTGCCTTCAGATGTTTGCTCTGAATACCTTCCTCTCAACAAGGTTCCACTCCTGTCTGGGGGTTTCCTCCTGTTCTCTGTCATGTTTCACCTGAGCCGTTCCCTTGTTTTTTGGCAGTCTGTTCCAGGCTGCCACAGCCCTGGCAGTCAGCACGTCGTGGCCCTTTGAAGATGGCAAGTTGAATTTATAGGAACAATTTGCTGAATCAAACGGGGAGTCTGTGCCTGCTGCTGTCTCCCAGTTGTGCTTGTTTGCATGTAGTGGTGCCTGTCCTCAGACAGGGCTCGGTGCCATCGGGTGCCCCTTATGAGCCCATTTGTCTTGGGACAGGACAAATGTTTCTCTGCAGACCCTTGTCTTTTAACCAGGGATTACAGAAGGACCCTACATCAAATGAGGCTCTCAACCTGGTGAGAAGAATCCTGTGCTTGCCCCTGCAGCCTGGAGAAAGCATTTGGCTGTGCCCTAGGGCCTGGTCTGGAAATGAGGATAATAATTAGTGAATTCTGACCACGTGGAAATGTGTGGGGGGCAGGGAGAGTGTCTTTAAAATGCAGGAGCTGCTGGGCAGCGACTCTTCCTGTAGTAGCAATGGTCATGTCAGCACTGTGTCTTTGTGACAGAGGTAGAAGATAATTTGGGATCAGCCAGTACAAGCTGAGGCTGAACTGCAGCTCTCAACTGGAATCAGTCTGAAGGAGTATCTAGAGCAGCTTGTGCTGTGCAGAGTGGCCACTAAATATTTGAAGGCAAATTTTCCTGTGTCTGGGCACACTGTCCACTCCTCAGGTAAAAACTGGGCCATCCTAGGGGGGCAAACTGGAAGGACAGGAGTTCCTGTTGGTTACAAAGAGGAGAGGATGGACAGGAGTTTGTTTGGAGCTGTGGAAAGACATCAAAGGCTCCTCAGGCTCCTGACTGCCTATGGGATGCAGACAGAGGTAAAGCTGAAGCAACAGCTCTGAGCATTTTCTGCCTGTTTGCTTCTCAATGTTGGGTTGACAGCATCATGTTCAGAGGGATCTGATCTATTCACCACAGCAAATGGATTTGCTGTAGCAGTGACCTTCAGGCTTTTACTGGTGTCTGCAAAGGGCTCTGAGAACGTGAAGGGTCTGATGGTATCAGAGGTGCTCAGAGGGAGCCAGCAGGGGAGAGGCAGCAAGGGGAAACTTCCCCCTGGCTGGGGCTTCCCCTCGGAGTGTCTGTATGTCACAATTGTCTTTTTCCCCCCCTCTTTTTTCCCTCAATGTCAGTGTGGAACCCCCATCAGGGAGCTGCCTGCAAAGGTGTTGCCCAAGGGGTGGGTTGGGCTGCTGGCCCTCTCAGCAGTCATGCCCTGGTTTTAGAGTCCCCACGCCAAGCCATCAGGTACAGGGTGTTGTGTTTGTACCCCCTGTGGAGCTGGAGTCCTCCTGTGCTGAGGGGTCCCCAGGATTTCATATTTTAAGAATACAGTACAAAGCTTTGGCTCATGAAGGTATTTTGGGCAAGACAATCTGGTGATGGAGAATGAGATTTAGAATATGCCTCATAAAAGATGAAGATGTGGAAAGAATCTAAGATGGGGCTGAAGTCTGCTGCTGGTCAGGGTCTGACCAGGCCCTGCGTTCTCTTTGTGACTTTTTGGGGATTTGGTTGCTGTATGTGCCAGCCTCACAACAGAGTCCTGTCTGACCCAGCTGCCACCTGCCCCTGTGCCCAGCAAGTGTCCCGAGCAGGAGCCCAGGGAGGGCTCCAGGGCCAGGGGGGTCTGGAATCCATGGGAAGCAGTGCTGGGAAATGGGACCGTGGCCTTTCTCCTCTGGGGCACGAGTGAGCACGTGCTGGTGAGAGTCCTCGAGCCCTCCTGCAGCTGGGGGGATGCTCAGAACCCACCCGGCTGTCCTGTGAAACCTCCACAGGGACGCTGGGTTCAGTGCCTGTATTTACTGTTGGCCATTTCTCATCTTCCAGGAGTTTCAGCCCTTTTTGTGCAGCGACGTGTTCTGCGTCGGTGAGAGGCCTCAGT